TTTTTTTTTTGGACTTTTTTTTTTTTTTTTTTTTCGCCCTCTCGCACCGATTTTGGGGTACCCAGAGGATGTCATCCATAAAAATAAAAAAGTGTGGCCTGATGCAGAATTAAAAGAAATATCACCGCAAACACCGCCCTTTTCATATTTTTTCGGGCAATGGTATGCTTGTGTTTTTCCCTCTCTGAATTTATTCAGCTCGACTAAATGTGTTGACTGGGTGCCACTGTAATGCAAGATTGTAATTTTATAAGAGATTTAGAAAAAAAAGCCCTTTATACAGTATATACCGATTCATATTTTTCAGATTTTTAAAAGTTAAGCAGCGACCACCCCCTAATGTTGTAATGTTGTCTGGCGTCAGGACGTTTTTGTCATCAGATTGTATATCGTTGTGGAAGTCGTAAAAATTATTACGTTTAATATTATGTTATCATAATATTAATTTTATGCAAACAAAAATGAAATGAAGACCTCCTATATTTAACACTTCAGACTTTTTGGACTAAGTTTTGCATCGTCCAGGTTCTAACGTTTGGTGTCATCTCCTGTCAGCTCATCAGTATCAGCGGTTTCTATATTATAGTTGAAGAACGAGACAAATAATTAAAATGATAACATCATAACTATATTTTGATGTGTTAAGTAGTTAAGTTCGTATCTTTATCAACTTAACTGTTTGTTCAACTCTCAGAGCCGGGGTTCTTTTTGAAATATGCAGAGTTTGTTTAACTGAGATGTTAAAATCGCTCACAAACGATAATTAATATATAAATATGTTAAATAGAACAAGAGAGAGAGAGAGAATGGGAAGGAAGAGGCGTGTTTGGCGAGATATGCACTGCCTTGGCAGTGCATGAAGACGGTCAGCGAGAGACCAATGTGGTAGAGAAGCCAGTTTGTCACAATTATCACATTTCATTCTATAGTGAAACTGTTAGTGGTGATGTTGCGGAGTCTATTCCCCCAAAAAGTTCTTTATCTTGATCTCCCCTTTGCGAAAGAATTATCCCTGCAAGTCAACAGAAAATGTATGGACGACACGTTATTAGCGTCCATGACATTGAGATCTAGAGAAAAGCCGTTGAACTAAGCACTAGTATTTCTTAATCCAAATCTCACAAACAGTTTGGTTAATTAGGCATTCCAATCCACCACGGACAAAAATACTCATTGCCTCTGACTTCTGCAGATACTTGTGACCCTGGTCTGGGCCACTGATTAAAGTATACGGCCTCTCCCCCATTAAGGAACGCTCCCCACCACCCAAAGCTCCCAGCACTGAGGATGGTGTGGTTACACAGGGACAGAATGGCCAGGTCCACCTCAGCAGCCTGTTTACTGCCGTGGAGTAGTCTTGGGTGGACAATGTTAACTTCTGCCCAGGTCGGTGTCTGGTTTGTGTCCTCAGATATGATAAGGTAGAGAGTGTTTATGTACCGTTTATCAAAGTACCACATTGCTCTTTGGAAGTACGTTCTATTTGGTACCACGTAGCCGTACTCCATCCCCCAGTCACTGACGTGGTCTCCCCTTCGAACGTGGATCCCGATGACGACGGGAGACTCCATCTTGTGCACCTTTATAGCATGCTTGATGAAATTAGTAGCCGTTTTCATTACAGATTTACTGAACGAAAACCTTCTACGGATTTGCTCTTTTACGTGGATAAAATACATCCACGACTGACAGTACCCAAGGACCATGGTTTTCGTGCGACTGATGTTTTTAAAGTTTGGGTTATAAGAAGTTGTCTCTGCCTCACACTGAAGCACTTTGTATTCTTCAAATGGGTAATCATCAAAGTTAGATACGTCTAAGGCTTTGTCTTTTAAGTTGAAGATTTTTATGACGTCTCGAAAAAAGTCGGCGTGCAACCTGACAGTCATGTTGTTTGATAAAGCTAAAGCGTACGCGGTGGCATATTCAAACATCTGGTTACCCAAACGTCCCCCCATACCTCGAGCTAGGATAAACGCTTCACTAGGGCGCTGGATCGATGCTGCAGTGCTTGTCCGGGTTGGCGTCAATGAGGAAGGCGTGTCACTTGCACTAAAATGCCTTTCTGGTTTAAGAGTTATTTGTGTATCTGTAAGTGTCACCATCTGAGTTGGCGTTTGGCATTCCTCTCTGTAAAGCACATGGGTTGGATAAACCAGGAGAAGCCACGATGAAACAGTAAATCCACAGGCAAATGCGAAGACATAATTAAAAACCTTGAATATAGGCAAACAACGAATGGAATGCTGACGGTGATCACCTCTTTTAGCTGACATCTCGTTGCCTTTCCCCCCTCTTTTTCCTTAATTATCCTGTCCCTGCTCTGTATAAAAAACAAAGAACACTGAAAATGGGTAAGACACATATTACATTTGATTGTCATACCGAATGTTGTAAACAATAATTTAAGACATGTCAACTTTTGCTTATTTGACGTATTGAAAATAAAACCTATAACAAATAAACCAAAAATATGGAGAGGGGGTTTCAGAGAGGCGTAATATCAAATAAACCAACATTATTACCAGTAGTGGAAACAAGTCCATCCTGTTAAATGTTCATCCTTTAAACCTGTAATTATTGTGCAAATTTAGGGGTTTAAAGGATCCTTTTGAAATCGTGTTTACAAGCGAGAGAGAGAGGGGGGTGTTTACCACAGAGATATATTAAATAATTTAATAAAAACCCAAAATGCAGAGAGCGAAAATGACAAACAACCCTTTGTACTGGAGTTTTTTTTACCATCTGGACATACATATACGTTGTATAACTTTTTGAAAGGAGGCGTAGAAGAAGTATTTTTCTTTGAGATATCGAGATGGAATCAGGGTTATTTAGAAGTGCGGAATGAACACATTTTTTTATAGAGAGCAGAAAGTAAGCGGTATGTTGCGTCTTTCTCGGCAAATTTACTGCAAGTCTCGCTTACATAAAAGACAGCCCTCTTCCCGTTCACATACATGTATCCCTCATACTACACCTACCTGCTAAAATCATTACTGCGATATAGTACGTACCGCTGTGAGGTAATCTACACGTTCTTCGTTTCTCTATCATTTGGAGTTTCATTCGCACAAAGTTAACGAATGATACTATCGTTATGTGGAGTTAAGTCACGTTGTCAGCAAAAAAAATTCGCTAAATGCGTTTAACAAAAGTCTGTTCATTAAAAATGAGGGAGGCGACAAGCCGTAACCTTGTCTGAGGTCACACTTTCATTAACATTTACTCGTCTGTGACACTCGCGGATAACGAGAGACGCATAAATTCGACATTAGCTGCAAATGGACTTCTCTTGGCACTTAATACTGCTAGTAGCTACATGTACACCGTTTATAAATAAACTTGTGTCCATAAGTAAAAACCGTTCTAAACAATCAAAGATAATGATCGATCCATAGTTTTGATATAATGAACGGGAATGAGAGCATTTTTTGTACATAACTATATTCCTTTAACATGTGTAGCTAAAATGATGAATTCCAATTTATTTATTAGATTTCTGGGTATAATAAAATAATTTTAATAATAAACATTGTATAATAAAAGTTACATACAATTACACTTGATGGAAAAAATATTAAGGAAGGCAAAAGAAATCAACAAAAGAGCAAAATTTAAAACAAAAACATAATAGTATACAGAAATTCAAATTATCATTTGTCAGACATGGATGTCAGAGTATTTTTACAGCCTCAAAAAGAATTATCTTATAAAGTAGCATTAAAGAATTATACTGAAGAATCAGTAAATTTTACACGCATATCATTATAACATATAACAATATCCTAGAATTATAGAATGTGACCAAAATATCTAGTAGCCTGTAGGTGTCACAGCAGTGACACATTGTAGCAGATAAACGACAGAACCATCAAATAATTATTTTGGCAAGATAGTGTGTGGACGGTAAATACACAGCAAATTTTAAATGGAATATTGCTTATGAGACAATCACAAAGTCCTACTGTATTGGCAACTCAAATAAATATGAAAATTAATAATTTACACCCCAAAAGTTTCTAAAAATAGAAACATCCAACAAAAATGAAAGTAGATCAAAAAAAAATTTGTTTACATTTTGTACTGTCATTAACCTCAACCAGCAAGCAGTCAGCATTACGTTATACTATATTACAGCTAGCCAGGGTGGAGAATTTTCATACATAATCCCATTTAATTAAGTAGCTTCTTTTAAATACAAAGAGTATTACATCATAATGTCAATGTTTTTGAACACTCCTGTGCTTATAATGTGGAGATCTATGATTGTAATTAGGCTATCATAATAAAGATTATACATTATTACAGGAGGAAGGGCACAGCCCAGATCTCATAAGGTATATTATAAAATCTTATGAAGTTGACTTGATATACAAAGATAAGTGTAAAATCATCCACAGCACCCACAAGATTATAATAATGATATTGATATAATATAATACAATATAATATCTTATGCAGTTGCACATGCTAAAACAGTTAATATCTAGGGAAAATTATGTTCTTAAACTACAACACACTCTTTTCATCTCGCATTAGAAAAAATATATGCATCCAAGTAAACTTAATAAGTAAGAAATAACACTAAAAAATAAAATTAGTTTTGATTGTTACTAATAAAAGAAACATAAAGCTCAATTTGACTAGATTCTGTCATGGACATTTTTTTTCATATTTCACTTTTTAGGGCAATTAACTTGGTAATCAATTCCATCAATCAAAATGATTCAGAAGTAAATGTTACAGGCATTTTACAGTTTTCTGTACAGAAATGGCCTTGGACAATAACTGTCCATATATCTAGTAGTATTTCCCTAATGCATAGTTCAAGTATCAGTATGACACACACACACACACACACACACAAACATACATGCACCCATGCACATATCCACACACATGCAGATATATGCAGAGAGACTTAAAGCATTAAAGCATAAAAAAGCAATCAAGTAAAAAGAACCAGCTTTGACTTCTATATTACTTATATGCCTATGGCAAGATTACATGCACACATCAATGAGTATATGTAATGCTATATATTATATAGATAAATATAGATATATACGTACTGTACTAGTATTTTATATATTGAGAGAGGAAGAGAAAACAAGAGAGATCTAAAATATTGTTTTAACTTTTAGCATCCTTTCACATTTCAAAGTGCTGTTCTTTCATCATACACAACCTCTGACTCATTGTTGATCAATGATTCTGTGTCGTTTTCTGCCAAAAGTGTGGTCCTGCGATTGCGCTCTGCTGCTATAGCAGCTGCACTGTCACTACGCATTTTACGATTCTTCTTCTTCGTTGTATATTCACCCTGTAATTCAAATATGTACACTATAAGAAATACTTTTTGCAACATTTTATTTTTTAATAAAAAAAAAACAATGAAATCAATATTAAATAATAATAATAATGCAAAAATATTCTACTCTGAAATTAAATGATATAAAATGTATTGACTAATTCCCATATTTTGTGAGAATGAAGATAGCATTAAATCCACCTTCTCAACCTGCTTAGTATGGTAATTTGGGAAAAAGTTTATGAAATATTGGTCACCCTCTAGTAATTATCATTACTTTATTCGATGAAATAAGTTGTAGATTGGCTAAATCAAAGAAGAACTGATAAAAATATGTAAAAAATGCTCCTGATAATTAATTTCAATATAAGTCAAGCCATGGTGGTACACTCAATATTATATAGGTTCTCCACTACACTCCTTTGGTACAGTAACTTGAACAAAATCCATGCAATGCCCACATCTTACCAATATACGTAAAGAGGGTGTAGTGATAAATCTCTGCCCAGAAATAAACAAGTGTGTCACCTAAAATAGAGCATACAAGTATTACCTGTGGTCGTGGTCCTCCATTTAGAGGTCCAGCAGAGACATCCTTGCCCTTCATGGTGACCCCTGCCCCTGACCTGTCCAGGTTGTTCTCTATGTCCAGGTTATAGCTAGGGTTTACTATGCCGCTGACTATGAGGGACAGAAATGGAACATTAAACAATAATTATTTACTGGGCTTTATATACATACAGGTGTTACACACAGTTTGCACAGTCAGGATAGATGATATAATACACTAAGATTTATAGGGACAAAATTGGAGGAAAACAACTACTAAACAAATGCAGTTCAAAGAGTATGATTTTTCTCTTTTACACAATCACACACACACACACACATGCGCACGTGTGAGTGCACGCACATGCACTACATAATTATGCACACTCTCCCCTTCATTTCCACACTATATAATGTTTATATAAGGCAGTGCCAAACTTTTTATCTTCTGTTTTTTTCAATCATCAAAATTTTTTCTAACGATACTTTTTCAAAGTTTTATGAGAGTGCACTCGCAAACAGCAGACATGTATCATGTGACTTACCATGTGATCCATTGGAGAGGCTAGGCGTCTGGTCGTGAATGGTGTCCAGGCCTGACCTACGCTGGGGGCTGGTCTGAAAATTAACAACCACACACACTTATTTTATACCTTACTGAAAACAGTACAAAACCAGTTTGGATTACTGTCATTGTTTTATAAACAATGAAACAAGTACTAGTACAACAGGTACTGACACTAAAGATTTATCAACTTCAGACTCTTGTTCACTGTAGCTAATAAAACCATGAAAGCTAGCTGTCATCAATAATTTATGTTGCACAATACTCTCACATCACTGGCATACACTCATTTAACCAAGGAGTTAGTATAAACCCTTGCTTTAACTACCGGTAGGACATTAAGGATTAAGATCACGATCATGACACACAACAATCATTACTGTACATACATGTACTTCCCAGTTTCTTCTTGCTGTATGCATTTAAATAGATATACAGTACATAAACAGTATATATCAAATCATTTAAACCTGAAATCACAGCAGATATAAGATACAGCTATAAGACAGGCATCTGATATCCTGTAACACTCACATATCTCTTCATCCTCCCCCTTGGCGCAGCATATAACACTGAGGACTCCTGCTCTGTAGTACTTAACGTCCCACTTGAAGAGGGCTGTTGGAATGTGTGACTGCTCCGTAACCTACAAAAGGTCAAAAGACCATCACCACTATGTACTATAAACACCACGTCCCATATATTCAGATAAGTATGAGACAAAGTAACCCACTTTGTACTGGATTGTATTCCTCATATGTACAGGTCATGTCTCATATCAAGGTTCATAGGTACTGTACATGTAGTCAGTCCATGAACACCCATGGCCCAAATACAGTGAACACATTAGTATGCATAGACACTATGCCTTCCTTCATTGATGTCTGCTTGGAAGCATTCATTAATTTGTATTTTTGTTAGTGAAGATACATGTAAATGTGCATTTACAAACTCAGGTACAGTATGCATGTTGCACACAAATGCAGGCATTCACTCAACTACACGTATGCGTATGTACCTGTACATATACAGGTATACACACGCACATGTACAGACACAGGCACACACTCACCCTTCGTGCTCCATGAAGTGCTGTATATTTGTACTGACCTGGTTAAAATAGTCAGGAGATCAGATAAGGAAGCTATTATAATGTGAGTTGTCTGCAGGAAGTAAATACATATCACACCAGTCATTTGTGGATATAGAAAGTATCTAATGTGTGTATTTGTACTGGCTCGGATGGGATAGTCCTGATAAAGTGATAAGAAGGCATCTATAAATGACTCATCTAAATATAAACATATGAAACATATTGAAAGTTAAAGCAAAACTTCACAGGTGTAAATTAATCCAAAATGATGAGCTTTTATCAAGCAGAATATATTTTCTTCATGCCAACTGCAGTTTCATCTTGTACTGTACTATAACCAAACCACTAATACACATGTTAGATCAATGTTTTAACTCCTCAAAGAGGGAATAAAACTCAATATTATGCCCTTTCTTGCAATTTAGAGCCTTTCTGCACACTGACTTGATGTTAAACTACATTACAAATTTTCATGCAATATAATTGTTTTATATGTGAGGGGCACTTAAAAGATAAGGCTTACCATGAAAACATGGAATCTTTTATGTTTACTAATTTGTCAGCTTGATTATACACTTTCTTGCTCATCTCATAGCATTTTTTCAAACACAGAACTAAACAAACGAAATAAAACCATTTATTTCACTTTCAAGTATGCAGGTATGTGTGCGTGCATATGTGCACACTCTCACATGTGCGCCCACGTGTGTGTGTGTGTGTATGTGTATGTATCCTAGATGTTTGCCCTGTACCTAGATATGGTGCACAGAATGCAGAGATAAGATAAGCAGCCAGGTTACTGTTATATAAGTTACTGGGACTTCATGTTTACCTTCACATGCTGATTGTAATAATCCTGTCCATTTTTCACTAATAGCGTGTTTATGTCAAACGCCGTATTTACAATAACATATTTTGGTATGGCGTGAGTATCTATTTTGGCTTTACTTAAAACAATAACAGCATACTATATATTGGACAAACAAACAAACAACCCTTATTATTTATGATAAAAATTATAAACAAAATTCTGTTGATTGTGCAAAAATGGTTGGTAATAGGTAAACAAATTGATTACAAACACACAACTTGAAACAAACTAATAAGAGATAGAATGAGGGAATCAAATGAAGATAAATTAAATGAGTAATGGATAAAAGATTTAGAATAAGATGGATCTGAGACTCCGTTCACATGAAAAATCTATTTTCTAAAAATCTATTTTCTATTCGCGGTATCTTGTGATCACTCCGAGCACAGCCGAGAATTAATTACAGCTTCGGAAGTAACTGGCTCGCGCTGCCAGTAATTGCGCTGCCAGTAATTACGCCGCAGGGTATTCAGGGCACAGACCATGATCACAAGATACCGTGAATAGAAAACAGATTTTTAAAAAATAGATTTTTCATGTGAACGAAGCCTGATATTCACGCACACAGAGTACATTGTAAGATTAACAGATAAATGAAGGGCAGACAGACAGATAGATAGGTAGCCAGGCACATTATGAGACATAAATATATACTGGTAAATATAATAATTATTAATTAATATATAAATAATATATAGCCCACCTAGTTATAGTTATAAAATGTATATATATATATATATATTTTAAAAGCTAGTATCATCATAACAGGACATGGTCAATCTAATTATCATTATCATTTTCACTGCTATGAGGAACAGGGGTATGGTCAGTATCACATTAACACTGTGGTGAGGAACAGGGGTATGGTCAGTATCACATTATCACTGTAGTGAGGAACAGGGGTATGGTTTGTATCACATTATCACTGTGGTGAGGAACAGGGGTATGGTCAGTATCACATTAACACTGTAGTAAGGAACAGGGGTATGGTTAGTATCACATTATCACTGTGGTGAGGAACAGGGGTATGGTCAGTATCACATTACCAAAGCTGTGAGGGACAGGCATGGTCTGTATTACATTATCACTGCCATGAGGGACAAGAGTACAGTCAGCATCATATTAATTTATTTATCACATCTGTGAGGGGGCGGGGGTACGTGTAAGGTCAATGCCTTATGATCACACCTATAAAGGTCATGGATGTGGTCCATTTCATATCACCTCACCTGTAAGGGTCAGGAGTATGGTCAGTATCAGAGGAGTCCTCCCACAGCATATGTTGTGGCCTGGTCTGCCCATTCATATTGCCTGGTCTCTCAGGACTATGGACCTCCAGCTGCATGTCCATGTTCCTGGCTGTGCTGGGAGGGATGACTGGAAAACAGAGACCAGATTGACTGAGGGACTATTCACTACAGTAAACAGTGTGTAGCCATAGCTAGACATGGCAGGGTGGGCCCCCAACTGCCATTTACAAATAAATTATTAATTACCCAGTTTCTCTCAAGAAAAGGCACACTTTGAGCCCCACAGGACTATTTCTAATGTATTTTATATAAGACGTGAGTGAGTAATGGAATAAAATACGAACACATTTTTTTACCTAAAATATTTACTTGAATAATAATTTATTATTTTTTCTGCCAAAATATTTTGTTGGTAGTACTCATTGCTTAATTAAATGTCTTGCAAAATTTTAGTTGACTTCCTGTCAGAAAGTGCATATTTTTAACAATGTCGTGCTGTTTCTGAAAATGATAAATCACGTAAAAGCCTGAATCCACCAATAAAAAAGGATTAACAGTTTCTTAGGGGTATAAATCATGCATTTCCATTTAATGACCTAATTGTATTGCTGTTCGTTGCCATACAGCCAAGTATTAGTCTAAAATTGAGTTTCACAAAAGTCTACCTTCAGAATGTCAAATTGAATGCAATTTTCTTAACCAGAGTCAAACCAAAACCCTCATCCAGAAAATAAAACCCTTCATTCTACTCACAGTATCTGCTTCCAGAGTCCTTCCTTCTTCTCTTCCTTCTACAACAGCAAGCAATCAGGATCACCACCACCACAATGAGGATGAAGACAGCAACAGCGCCCCCTATCACATATGGCAGGTACCGTGGGTCCAGCAGAGGGGCTGGGGTAGGTGGGGTGCCTCTCTGTAGCTGTGTGGTGGTGGTGCTAGGTGGGGTAGTGGGGGGTGCACTGGTGGGGATGGTGGGGGCAGGGGTTGGGGGCACTGGAACACAATACAGAAGCTATAGAGGTATCTTATATTTACATATTATAAAGTTACATATAATTAGTTGATTTTCCAAACGATTTTAACACACTGTTTATGTTCTCAAAAATATTACATGTAGATGATATAAAGGTTTTCAAATAACAACTCATTATTCTATAAGGTGTTCCCATATGTACAGTTATATGACCACACAAACAGACTGAATGGTCTTTTCTAAGCCTCTTACTAGTAGCTATACAAAATATATTATAGATTTGGAAGCGTGATTCAATAACTAAAGGCACTTACAGGTCTCCACCGTGACTTCTGCAGCTGTCTGTCCTAGGCCACCCCCAGTTTGAGCCAGAACACTGAAGGTGTACCTGGTGTTAGCCTGAAGAAGGCTTATTGTAATACTGGTGTTAGGTGTGCTGATAGAGACAGACGTGTTCAACTGCTCCACGTCTCTTTTCTGGAGAAGTCTCTGAGATTCTGTAAAATTAAAAATTTAATCATAATTTTATTGTTAGTTGACTCAAAAGGATGCAAAGAATGTTTTAAATTTGGGATTGTTATATTATATGTGGCCCTGCAAGCATTTGTGAAAAGCATAATATCAATTTTTTCCATATTTCTACTTTTCTTTGTTACAGTAATTAGGGTGGTTTTTAATCAAAATATATCATAATCTTACAGTTTTAATGCTAAGCACCTACTTCTCCATGCATAGTATCAATAACTGAATGACTAACAACTTCTATTTCTTTAAGGTGTTAAAATGCCACTGCTCAAAACATCAACTCTCCTCATTTGTGGCACCAAAGCTAGCAAGAATATAAGGCTACATATTGACAGTTTACAAAAAAAAAGAAAAAAAAAGCTTGAAGCTGGACATGAATCATGCCTGGCCTGGAAAAAGCCTGGGGAATACCACTAAGAAACATGTAACAAAAATACTTCTTTACATTTGATAAATATAAATGCCTTTTACCTGTGGTGCTCACTGTCAGTGAAATGTTCATCCCATTGTCAGATATAGTTTCATTCCCATCTGTTGTATTAAAAGCAGTAGTAGCACTGGCAGTAGTAGTAGTAGTAGTAGTAGTAGTTGTTGTGGTTGTGGTGGTAGTAATAGGTATGCCATAATATGTGATGACATACTGAGATATAATTCCTCGTGCTTCAGGTGGTGGCTGCCATGACAGTTCCACCATGTAGCTGCCTGCTGTGGCTGTGAGACCCTCTACTGGTCCTGGCCCTGGAAGTGAGAGAAAGTAAGAGGGCAAGGTGACATAATCCAGTTAATACACAGTGAGATGTCTTCATATTAGGGCTCAGGGTGCTGAAGGTGAGTCCACTCAACCCAAAACACTTAGTTCAGTATTGTTCGTAACCCTAAAGTTTCCCCCCAAGACCAACACATGCTCTCCCTCATATACCATGTAAAAGCAGTGAATTTACTCAAACTGCAGATGACTAAGTTTACAATATAACCAGATATACACAGTGTGGGTCACTTGGAGTACTGCCATCTGTGGTATGATTATTTTACTGCAAATGACTTTGAAAACATAAGGTGTAGACTAACTGTCCCAAGCACATATTCTTGTAATCCTGGTGGAAGTCATTGAGTTGTATATACATAATCAACTTGGGCAATTGAAGCACACCTATATTTTACATACAATCTGGAGATGGGTGCAGTAGTATCTACAGGTACAATTAACACTCTCGCCCAGCTTTCACTAACTGCCCTCATTCCTAACATACTTACGCCCCTCTTTGGTTCTGATGGTGTAAGCTGCAGACACCGGCCCCTCCTCAGGGGTCACACCATGTGTGTACGCTGATACACTGACACTATAGGTGGTCCAGACCTGCAGGTTGCTAGAATATTCAAAAGAACAGATATGTCTTAAATGCATTATCAACCATACAGAGTGAAAAATCATCCTTCTCTCTCATACCATGCAATTTCATCAGCCAAACATTGTTTTAGGTTATATCAATAAATTTTCTTCTAAGTGAGTAATTACCTTAATATTACTAACTTACCAGAGAGATGTAGGAAAAAGTATGCAATACAGAACATAAATTCAGAGAAGTTAGGCAGTTGTGTGTATCAGAATAGTACCTAATGTTAGCAGCCAGTGTATCCTTCCCAGTCACTGTGATCACCCTGGGTTCCGAGGTGTTCTGTGTGACAACATACAACTTGTACCCTGAGATCTCTCCATTTTGTTTGCTGTGTTCCACAGGCTGCAAAAGAGAGAAAGTACAGTAACTGGTCTAAAGTTAACGTTGGAAATATTTTTTTTGCTCATATTGTGCCCATTGGTGTGCAAGATGAAAAGCTGCATATAGCTTGTATGAAAAAAAGTGAGGATCGGGATTTGTGAATAAACAGCACTGCAAATAGGAAAACGAGAACAAATCATCATTAAAAGATGCACAATGTTAATCGCTTGTGTCTGGTGCAGAGTAATTGTCTATTTACGTACATATATTCAAATGTCTGCAGTTGGGTCCATTTTTATTTGGAATTTTGGGTACAAATATTCTGAGCTGTAAAAGTGGACATACCTGCCACATGACCTGAATGGAGGTAGAACTGAGTGCAGTCAGTGATATCTGCCTGGGACTTCCTGCAGGGGCAGACGGCAGAGTCCTCACTTCTACCGCTGCACTTTTAGGACTTGCACCTATGACATTATATGCTATGATGCTGATGCTATAAGATCTCCATGGTAACAGGTTGGTTGCTATGGTAGCTGATGTTTCAGTGGTTGTCAAGTTGAAGGTTGCCACGGTGTTGACCTCTGCATATGTGATTCTGTAGTGTGTAATTGGTCCATTTCTATCCGCTTTTCCTATTGGCTGTGAGTAAAACAAGGATTAATAAATTAAAATCAGCAGTTCATTGAAGCAAGATAATCATATTATCCTGGGGAGACAAAATTAAATATCTGTCCACCAAGTAGTAATATTCTGAAGCAAGTTTTGCGTGTCCCTTGTTATATCAAAATAGTCCCCAGGCTAACCTTTAAGGGAATGTCCAACATATTTCTAAAGACAGTCATTAGCTGATCACAAAGTTTGATTTCCACTGAACTTCAAATCCTGTTCAACTCTAAGATAACCTTTTTTATAATTCAAGGACAATTTGTTAGCCACTGATGGTGTAAAAGCCAGCAGCTTTGTCTTACATTCCAGGATACTTGTATGGTGGTGCTGGATATGGCCAGGGCTCTCAGGCCAGTCACTGGGGCACTGGGGACTGGGGGATTAAAAAAATCCACAAATTATATTATTATTTATTTAATTAATTTGACAAACACTGCAGCTTTGCTTGTCATTCACAAAAATGTGAGGTAAGAAATTGTTTATGTAATAGACTAATGGGTATGGTAGTGAGTATTTTATTAAAGAGAAGTAGAACATTTTGGATTAAAATAGACCAAAAAAGTTTCTAAAAAATACCAACTTATCAATTAAGTCCTATTGTTAAGACATTAAAATTTGTACAAAAAGGGATTTCAACTATACAGTATAAATGTATACCAGTTAGAATAAGAAATATAACAGCCATGACTACACGTACCTGCTTGGAGAGTCTGTCCATGTAAAAGAGCAGTGAAGTTTCCCCACAGTTTGACACCACCCTCCACTGTGGCTGCTCTCACTCGGACTTCATACCATGTATAAGGCCTCAATCCCGTGATGGTGTATGTGTGAGTGGCTGGCTGTGGCTCACCTATCTCATCTACGGTGTACTCAGCCTCTGTGTCATTGGCTGGTTTGTAGTGGACTTGGTAGTACTTGATCTGACCACTCTTGGTGGACGGAATCTCCCAGGAAAGACTGATGGAGTTTGCTTGGATGGAAGTAATGTAGAAGTTGCGTGGCTCCGATGGGGCTGAAATGGGTTAAAAGATTGTAAATGCCATCATAGTTACAATGGAGATTTAATTAGCTATAAAAGACTTCTGAATATCTGTGTTCTGTTGCACTGTAGGCACCTAGCTGGTGTTTGAGATGTATTACAATAAAATAACAATGATGCAAAGAAATGATTGTTCATATTCACTGTCAGACCAAGGATGCTAAGAACTGTATATGTGTGTGTGTGTGTGTGTGTGTGTGTGTGTGTGTGTGTGTGTGTGTGTGTGTGTGTGTGTGTGTGCACAAGTGCATGTGTGCTTGTGTGTGGGGTCATACAATAAAAGTTCAAAGATGACTGACACAGATCTATGCTCTATACCAATACCAAATTTACACAATTTTAGTATGAACAGTAATTTCTGAGACATTTAAAATTATTGTTAAAGGAATTTAATGATTTATATTTGCTGTGTGTAAAATTTGAGATGACCGTCTGCCAATATTCTTGCAACTGATCTTTTGTCTTATATTTTTTACCAGTTTCAAATGTCTTCACAAGTAAAGAGTTGCTGGGATCTCCAGTGCCTATTTCATTTTCTGCCAGTACCCGCACAAAATATTCTGTCCCTGCTGATAGACCAAATAGTTCATAGGAAACTGCTGGTGCTGACACCTTGTGATGGAATGTTATGTAATCTGCTTTGACTCTGGTGAGAAAAAAAATGCACACCAAAATTAAAACAACAATGTTGCCAAAACTGCAAGAGATTTCATATATCAATATGTTGGCAATATCCTTTTCATAAAAACAGCTTTGGGGTTGAAATTTACCATTCATTTTGAAAATAACTGTATCCTGGCCATCAAACAAAATTAATTGCCATCTCTAATCATGGTAAGACTTCACAATGATTACTCCTTATGTCCATTTCATGAGAAAAACAGCTTAAACAGGGGCTTTCTGAAGTCAAATTTACCATTTAACAATTAGAAATGCACTAATATAAACTATCTTTCTATGTTTTGATAAAAATAAAAATGTCCTGCCCTCTCTGGCCTAGAACTACATATAGCTGTGACTATTGTACTATTTATGGACCTGACATGCATGCATCATACTTACTTTTCTCTGTACTGTACCACAAAAAAGGACACGTCATTATTTGTGTCTTGCTGCACTGGCACCCAGGTGAGGTTGACGGAATTAGGAGACACCGGCACGGCTGACTGTAAGACAGGTGGCCTTGGAGGATCTGGAATTACAAACAATATACAGACAATATACTCTCTCACTATATGATAAACACATGCACATCATTTCTTCAAATTCAATATCTTTTAACTTTAACCCAAATATTCAGCAATATTTTTAATGAAATACAACCAACATAAATTCAAAATAAATTTCAAAATTAATCTGAATCCAAGGCCACACCTATGACATCAGAAATCACCATTAAATTTATAACTGTTACAATATACAAACACTTCCTTATATTATTTTACATGTACATCTGACATCTGTTACATACCTCTGATGTAAACATGGACACTGTGTATGGACGTCCCTGCAGCATTCTGTGTCTGACAGCTGTACACACCTGGGATGAAAAACACAAGATATAATTATTGACTGAATAATAAAATTATTGATTTGTATGGATCTGCAAGTCAAGAGGTTTATAAAGACTTGCCTATTTATCAGATAATCCAAAATGAATAATTTAAAAATTAATTCAGAAATAAATAAATAAACAAAAGAACATTTTGCAGACAGAGATACATGTGCCAGTACTACATACCAGAGTCATTCTGTGTAACATATTTCACAAGCACCGAGTTAACAGAGGGGAACAGGATCCTGTTGTTACTGACTGGTGCCAGCAGGGTACCCCTGTGGTACCAGGTATAGCTTGGTGCTGGGGTTCCCACGGCAACACAGGTCAAGGTCAGATCTTTGCCACGTCCCACTATGGTCCTGCCCTCTATGTGAGATATGGTGGGCTGGACTGAAAATATATTTTAATATATAATGTACTAATATCCATATAGTATTTTTCAAAACACTGATCAGAGAGAAATAATTCAATATGAACCTGCCTGTATTTTGCCTTTAAAAACAGTGGATACTGAAACTGGAAAACAAGAGTCCTAGGGTTTATTTGTTTATGAATGTACATTTTAAAAATTTCCCTGTAAATGTACATTCAGTGCGAGACAAATCATAGTTATTTTTACCTTGTACGAAAATTGTTCCAGAATGCCGTCTGGTTCCCACACCATTGTCTGCCATACATGTGAATGTCCCATCATGCACTTCATCGACTGAGGCGATGGTTAGGGCCATCTTGTCTGCAGATAATGATACACCGTTTGGTAGCTGAGCGTGCCCCTGAAAGATGGAATCATAATATAAATGGCAGTTCTAGATTTATATCATCTGTGCAAAAGCTAGGAGGTTACAAAAATTATAATTGTAAAAATGACTTGGTACTGAAGGTCTTCAACAATTGTGAGCAATATTTGCTCAAGTTTTTTATGCATCCCATAAATTCACTCTCTGAAAAATTCTGTTAGTTAGAGGAGAGTGTTAATGGCATTAATTGTCTTATAAATGCTATTATAATGTTTTTATAATTTATGTTACAATATTGATGCTTTAAAGCCATTATAATTTCTCTTTGTAAATTTAAGTTTGATATTATCAAAATAATTAAAGGCAACAAATGTTTTTATTGATATTATATATAGTGTTTGTTAGTTTGAGGCATATGGGATAGAAAAAAATAAATTATAATTGGTTTTAAAAATATTTTGCCATGAAAAATGAATGACGTTCACTAGAACCATTGAAAATAGTATATCAAGGACAACTGCTATGATCTACAGCAAGTATAAGTCTAAAACATAATTCAAAATTTCCTAAATCCCATCACTATTTCTATAACAACATTCATTTTAATAAATTTACCCATAAACAAATTATATAATAATATCCAATTACATAACTACACCATTAAATATGAAACTTTTAATTCTAGGTAAAACATGTACTAAATCTATCATGATAACAAAACATGACCACACCTAGGCACTTACATTAAAGCTCCAGGATATGACAGGCTCTGGCACTCCAGACACTTGGCATGGGATGACCAGCCGGTCAGACTTATTGACCGCCAGGTCCACTGGGTAGCTGGTGAAGGTAGGGGGTACTATAAAAAAAGATTGTTATAAATTTATACCTTGGTTTTGACTAAGTAAAACTTTGTAGAAATTAAAAGCATTCTGGATAATATGCTGTTAAAACATCTTGTTTTTGGTGCTCTTTTGAAGATGAGAAATAAACTGTTTTGTTAAAAATATTATGAATTAAGGGAATGGTAAAATTTAAACTGTATCAAACATAAACAATCAGAATAAGTTTAATGGCATGTAACCAATAAAGAAGTGAAAAATTGCAGATTTAGGTACAAAAAGAATACTGAGACCACCCTTAGATTATGAGACCTCCCATAAATTATGAGACATACCATGAATCCTGTGGCCTCCCATTAATTATGAAACCTACCTTGAATCCTGAGGCATACCATGAATTATGAAGCCTATCATGAATTATAAGATCTACCATGAATCCTGAGACTTCTCCCATAGATTATGAGACCTACCTTGAATCCTGAGACCTCTCCCAAAATTATGAGACCTACCTTGAATCCTGAGACTCCCAGTGCTTTGTTTAGAGCCAGCTTTGTTAGTTGCAGTGCAGGTATAGTTGCCCTGGTCTGAGGTAGTCACAGAGGTGATGGTGAGCTGAGTGCCCTGCAGGACTCTCCTGTTGTTATACTGAACTGGCTGTCCATCTGGAAATGTTTGTAATACAACACTGTCAGAATGTTAAGCATAAGACATAAAATGTGTATTAAATAGGGGTGCACGTAGACACAACAAATGCACACACTTGCCTGCACACAAACGCATGGGCACACACAGACACACACTAGCTGTATCAATCAATCAGAATTTAAAAATCTGTTACTTTTAATACTATGATTATCATCACCACCATCATCACAATCATCATCACCAACTATATCATCATCATCATCATTATTATTATTATTATTATTATTATTATTATTATTACTATCATCAACATCACAATAAATTAATAAGATATCACCTGTCACAGTTAGACCTTCAAATAACACATTTTATACTGTTGAACCTTTTTTCTAGACCAATGACATAAATATCTACACACATTCAAACCACAAATAAAAAACAACTGTTGTAATAAAACACAGACAGGATACCCTCCTCTCTCTCTCTCTCTCTCTCTCTCTCTCTCATTCTTTATGTTTCACCTTGTGCCCAAGTGACAGCTGGGAAGGGGTCTCCGTATACTCCACACTGTAACTGTGTGTAGCTTCCCTCTGCTCTCACCAGGTGGGGCACTGTCTGCATGATCTCTGGGGGCACTAAAATAATACATACAGAACTGAAACAACATGCACAGAACTGAAAAAGACAAACAGAACTAAAACAGTAGAAACAGACAAAATTTGGAAATAAATAATGGGGACGAAGGCACACCCTATCTAAAATAACAATCTGTATGCTTCTTTTTGAGTAGTAATTATATTTTTAACTTTAATTGTCACAAGTAAAAATTAACCGTGTTTATCTCCTATATGAGTGACTCAAAATAGAAATTTTTTCACTCACTTACTGGTATATTTAAGTAAAAGGCTTCTTAGGCATAATGTAAACATCAACATAATATAATTATAAAATCAGTTAGCTAAAAAAGTTATCGCAAATAACCATTAATATACAAACCTAGCACTTTCACAAATACTTCAGCACTTTTAGCAATTCCATGTACATTGCTGGCTGTACAGTAGTAAATGCCTTCATTCAGCTTATCCACATTGGTGATGTAAAGTTCTTGGTTTGAGTCCCTGGAAGTTAAACATGAATATTAGCCTACTGCTACTTTTTATAAGTATCTAATTTTGGGCTGAAAGTGAAATGACCACTATAACTTAAAGGAAGAGTGTTTGTAAGTTTTGATCCAAAGATAAAATGTGCCTCTGTACAATGAATTAAATAACTGCATAATTTCCACATACAGTATGAGTGTTTATCATGCAAGGAAGATATCTCGAGTTTGTGCTTCCATGCCCACAGCTAGCAATTTCAAATGGGAGTTTCTTATTCTGAAAAAGTGACCTTTTCACCCTCTTAGTTGATCAACCCAACTTGAGAATTGCAAAGATCCTAGATCAAATTATGATTCCAAGTGGACCTTTTCCAACCAAAAAGGCAGATCTTTTACACCCACCCCCCACTCCCATCCACCCGACTAAATGCCTGACTTCTCTTACAAGATCTGTTCATATATTCACCTAAACTGCGTTCTGTCATTGGCAACAATCTTCACTTGATTTCTGAACCAGTCTACTTGGGCAGGGGGGTCAGCCTCCACACTGCAGGTCATGTGGAGTAAGTGGTTCTTGATCACCTCTGTAGGCACAGGAGGCAGCACAAACAATGGTCTACCTGCAATAGAGTTCAAGAAACTGTATTAGGACGCACTAATGTTCAGCACAATTTTAACTACATGTTTTAAATGATCTCATCATCATCACTAAGTATTTTTTCCATTTTGCATGAATTCGTCAAAGGTTTGTGAGTCAGTATTCTCCACTTTTTTCCATCTTTTATAGACAGATGTCACTGGCTCTCCTATTCTCAGACAAAGCCCATATTCACTAACCAGGTCATGCTCGCACAGCCAAAGACTCTGTAAACAGGTAATAAATGCCTACTTTTCAACCACAATTTATATACAGTGTAACTCCTGAATGATCTGATGGGTCAGATCAGTGGACAGAGGTCAGAGAAGTACATGTACCTGGGTAGATAGTGGTCAGTGGAAAGTGGACAGTTTGTTGATTTTTGACAAGATGGTCATCCCAATTTGACCTGCTTTATGTGTATTTAATTTATTAATCAAAATAAAAAGAATAGTTTCTACACAGAACTAAAACAAGACAATGACCAACATAATTATAGCCACAGTGCTGTATTGGCAATTAATAGACCCACCTTTAACTGTTAGGACTGCAGGATTAGATGCCCTTGTCTGAGGAATTGCATGAGGATTAACAGCCACACACATGTATTGACCTTCATCAGCCTTCTGGACATAGGAGAAATAAAGATCTCCACTCGGCAGCACAGTGGCTGCATACACCCCTGATCGCTGCTGAAATTCTGTGCCGTCCTTGTACCAGGTGACAGAGGATTGTGGGACACTGCGGGGTGGTTGACAGTGGATGGTAGTAGCCGTTCCAGCCATTGCCTCCACGTCTTGAGGCTCTTGTTTGAATTCTGCATCTAAAACTGCAGCAGGAACAAAAGTGTATGGACAGCTACAAAATCCCTGGGTTTACAAAATTACAGTGACTGTGTTCTAAACAGGAACTCTTTAAACTGTACCTTTCTGGCTGACAAAGGCATTTCTTTATCGCAATATCTTAAACCTTCTTTAACATGCTGAAAAACCTTACCTATCAATTGTTAATTGATGCAATCTGACTGAGGGAAAGGTGAAAAACCCATTTGATAATTTGCTTTAAATATTTGATACAATAAGATTATATGGTTTGATTGAAATTTGTTAGTCAAGTTTTAGGCCAAATCAAAATACTTGACAATGTGTGTCGCACAGCATAAGTGGGTTCAGTTACATGAATGTGCCAAAAGTATGTTATCTGCTATGTTTGATGCTGCTTTAAAATTAATTCAAGTATTATTTTTCTTTTTCAGTAACTATGAACAGATGAAGAAATTTAATTATTTATAATAAATATTACCACTCAGGCTATAAACATCATATTAACTAGTCAAATTACCTGCCACAGAAATGTTCAAAGTTGAAGACATAATGCTGTTTTGCCCATAACTTCCCCTGCAGTAGTAGAGGCCCTCGGTGCTGCCATCTACAGTGGAGAAGGCTAGTGTACCATTGGCATACAGGTGCATGCCTGTTGTGGCCTTGGCAATATGCCTATTCTTATACCATGTGAGAGTTGGCTGGGGCCAGCCCTGTATTGGGCAGTGGAGAGAATATGGCACACCTCCTGCTAGATACATGAAAGACTGCAAGTCAGCGCCACGTGGAATGTATGGCGCTACAGGTTCATCTGAAATTGAAGTTCAAAAATTAAGTCACAGTGAAGAAATTATGCATTAAACATGTTGACTGTATTCTTAAAGTTTAGTATAATTCATACTGTTCAACCTTCTCATAGATGATGTCTTTCCTGTCATGTGTTACTCTATGATTAATGACAAATTATTAAGCAAAGATATATACTGTTACAATGACCTGAGATTGATATTTTTGACAAGCTGAACAGTTCTGGATATCGAAAGAACTTGGGAAAGGCGATATAATTATTGAGAATGCTTCTTTTGCATAACTTCAATTTAAAAATCAGAAAAAAACAAGACCATGCAACACATTTGACAAACTCACATGACACAGTAAGATTAGATTCTTTGCTCCTTCTTTCTTCTCCAGTGAGAGGATTTCTAGCAACACAGCGGTACCATCCTTCATGAGATTTCGTGACTCGGAATTCAAGAAGTGATGTCAGCTGTCCTATGCTGCCATCCCCTACAAAACAGAAAAATATTTTTGACAGTGAACATGGAAAAATTAAAACAAGGCATATCTTCAAATATCTGTTTTGATGCTTCACTGAATTATAAAATTGAAAATAAATAGTAGACTTTCACAACAACAAAGTGTTTGTAAGACAAAATTAAAGTTGGTTATAGCTTTTATATACCTAGCAAACTAATTTAAAAGAGGCTACATCAAATTTCATTATATACTGTTTGAATGAATGAATAAGAATAGGACTTATATCTACTTTTAAAATAGACTATTCAATAAACATGGAAAAGACGCATTTAAAAGCATTAAGCTTATCATCACATGTGCAAACCCTCATCAACATCAATTTTTTTGATTTAAAGATTAATTGCTAAATAAAATAAATACCCCGCCACAGTGCAACATGCTGAAATTCAGTCTGTGTATAAGGTCATAACTATAACATTTGTTACAATTAAAAGCAAATGATCAGTGCTCTCAATTTAGTTACCAATTGAAATCAATGTTTTGAGTTGAAATCAATTACTTATTTGAAACTTTAAAGAAAAAGACTTTAAGTGTGGGTTCTTTGCTAAAATAAAGCAAGTTTTGTGGTTAAAAACCAATGTCATACCACAATTCATGTGCCAAGTTTAAACGTTTAGCAATCATTCCAATTTAAAAAAAAAGAATTGAAAAGAAAATGGAAAATGTTCCGACACAGTACTAAGCATAAAAGCACAAGGTTAAGTTGACAATGGACCTTAAAATAAAAACATGCAAAATCCCAGGCATAATGTTTGTTAGATGAATATGCACATGTACATATATTGCTACCATACTATTGCCTACAGATGCTGGTCACACGTGCAGTGCTATCTAACCTGAGCTTCAACTTCAACATGGGACAGTTTCTTCAATTTCAAAGCTCAATACTCTGTATGAGCAGTCTTCAAACTCAAACTGTGGCATTCAGCAACAAGTATGATTGAAGTTTACAGTACTTATCACAAAAATACATCCAGACATGCTTATTTTGTGTCTCCCTAGAAAGGCATATACATGTACCCAGCAGTTCATATAAACTTAACAACATTTGTGATGGGCATATTTGTCTTCTACCACACTTCCCTGAAGTTCAGATGTGACAAGCAGAAATGTGGGGTAATTTGAAAATGGTAAAACTGTCCCACATCGCTTCTGAAGCTCTGGCTAATGTTAGTTGAAGGAAGATATTTAGAAATACGAGTAGTTTATAAGTAGAAGATTACTGTGAGGATAGTAAGAATTGAATATACTCCATTTTGCAATATCATGATAACCCACACCAGATATAAAGAAATGATATTTCTTATAATTTGAGTGATAAAATTATTCATGTTCAGAAAACTAATTTTTATCATTTACAAAATATCTTTTTGTAAATTCATATGGCAGTCAAAAACATTTTCAGCTTCACATAAAAGGTCTCTTATTTCCCATTGGAATTTATTCAAACTGTTAAAAGATTTGAAAGAAAGAAATACATCAATCTATGGTTATTGACATGCTAAGTTTATCTTAATATCTGTCCTTCCCAAAAACCACATGCAACATCAAGTGAATGTTACTCATACCTCCAGGACTGTTAGTTACATTATCATCTATGAAGAAATAGTGCACATAAAAAGCATAGGGTTATTAGTCCATTCTACGAATCAATGAAAAATAGCCTACTGATCAAATATTTTTTCCATGCCCTTTCAGGAATGAGTAGAAAATCAATGTTTTTAGACTTACTTAAAACAGTAGCTTAAACTGAGTTCAATGTCAAATTCACACCATGGAGCTTTAAAGCTATTATTTCTGATTTTATTGTCTGGTAATGCTAGGGAGCCAATGGCATCCCTAAATAAAACATAAAGGTTGCATTGGGGAGCCTTTGCCCTCACTCAATTATTTGCCCAAGTGAGAGTGTATTCTCCGTTCTTCAGCTGACTTTATAATCAACTGAGGGCTCATGTATCAGGTGGTTGGTCTACTCCAGGACTTCCTTTTGTATGTATAGTCAACTAACAGTCTACTTCTTGCAGTAAGTCTTAAACTGATTTTGATGACCCACTCCTGTTCGGGGCTTAAACGGACCATTTACAATCTGGTTTACAGTGTCCCTTCTAATGAAACCTAGTCAATTAGTCTGAACTACATGTATCATATAAGCATAATATACATGTATTTCATTCAAAGTGTGCATGGTCATAATTAGAAATGTTGAATATGTATATACATATTTAATATATACATGTACATGTAGGTTAAAAATGCATTATACCAGTATGTATAGGTTAGGTCAAATAACTGGCAAATCTGCAACTAGATACCACACATGTAATGAATATTTTTACATGAACACTTACCCTCTGTTAAATGAAAATAAGAACAAAATACAAATTAAATGTTAAAATTCATAATCATCCCATAAAAGTTTTCTTTCCTATATAACACCGTTTTCCTTTGTGCAGTGTTAAATTGGATACTTTTCTTCTCAGTGCCTGATTAACTAAGGATGATCCAAAAATACAGTATCATCATAATCATTTTCAAGCTGAAACAGCTTACATATTAATTTACTAAATGAAATACAAAAATTAATAAGAAAACTTTTAAACTTCAAAGAGCAATCCATTCTCTTCTTCATTTCTCTTCAACTACTTCTTCAAAAGGTTGTCATTTAAAAACGGCAATGACACAGTTTCCAACAAACCTGTGCTGTTAACTCTGCAGGTAACCACTTTATTCAGGCCTGTAGCCAGCAATTTCAAAGGGGCCGTAGCGATAGTCCGAAGGTTCAATAGTCCGAAGGTTCATTGGTCCGAATGGTCACTATAGAACCTTCGGACCAATGAACCCTTGATTAAAAAATCGATGAAAATGTTACCACTTTTCGGACCAATGAACCTTCGGACCAATGAACCTTCGGACTATCGAGACGCCCCCATTTCAAAAGGGGGGTTCTTTTTCTGAAAAAGTGGACCTTTTCCCATTGAAACTTCATGTACCTAGATCAAATTTTACCCAGAGTGGACCTTTTCCCAGCAAAAGGGGCAGTTCTTTCGAACCCCCCGAACCCCCCTGGCTACGTGCCTGTTATTGTACTGACCTATACTTCCAAAGACTGCTATGTGTTGGGCCCCCTCAGTAAACAAGGCTCCATCTTTCTCCCAGTACAGTTCAGGGGGCGGGGCACTCTTGCCACTGACACAGTGAAACTGAGCAGTGCCGTTAACATGTACTGCTGACGCAGGAGGTTGGGGATCAATAACAAAGTCTTTGATGACTGAGAGAGAAAAAAAAAACAATCACATGTGATTTCATGTCTTTAACATGATACTGTAAGATGTTGTGAGGTTTACATTTCTGTTTAAACAAGCAACAACTTAGATATTCATAATTTATTCATTTATCTTTTTAACATTCTAAGAAATAATTGAAATATAAGGACTACAAAAGGAGCATGATTATAAATATCCACACCTTTCTACATGTAAAAAATAATTCTAATGCCCACAGGTGCCTGTCTGTCTGTCTGTCTCTTCTTTTTCAGACATAGAGACAAAAAGCAATTTCTGCAAGTACATATATGCCTGACAAGCAACTGGCAGCTAGATCCAGGATTTTGCTAAAGGGAGGGGGGGGGGGGGCAAATATAAAAAATACAAAAGGATAATTTTATATAAAACATTAGAGAAGGATAATTTTATTGCTAAAATATGTAGGGCTCGGGGATGAAGAATTCTTTGATAAGGATCCCCTGATCCACCATTGCAAGTCATCCTGTCTGTGACACTTACATGCTTCCAGTAATGTGGCTTCTCTGCTTGTTCTCTCACTACTCAGGTCTCCACCCACTCTCAGGGTACAGGTATACTCTCCTTGATTAAAATAATTTTTTTAATATTTAAATATAAGAACATATTTACTTGAAACAATGCCAATGTTTACTTATTTGTGACTTATAATGACTTCAAAGCTACTGTTCTCCCCAAGTTCAAGATAACTTATAAAGGTAAGGTGATAGAATTATCATTGTACATACATGCGCGAGCGCGCGTGCACACACACACACACACACACAAACACACACACACAAACACACACACACACACACACATTTGTTGTGTTTTGTGCAATCAAATTCTGAGACAAAATCATAATTCAAAATACCCTACCCAAACTTGGGTTTAACATTAGGAGAAGAACACTTCATCACATAAATACCTAAGTCTGACTGTTGAACATTTGGCACATAAAGGGAGTTATTCTGAAAGACTGAGGTCTTGGCTGCTACAGCTCCTCCGTCCATTGACCAGACCACAGAGAGATGACCTCCTTCATCAGTGTCCACTCCTAGACAGTGAAGGACAGCACCCTGACCAATGACCACTGCAGTAGACTGGGGCTGCAACTGAAACTCTGAAAATACAAAAAGAACCCAGTCTTCAGTGAGTAGAAATAACTATTAATCAATTAAGTAGAAATAGTAAATAAGTAATTATTCACCAGATGTGAACACATCTGAATGTTTACAATATAAAATGAAATAATGATATAAAAATGATGTAAGACATACATAACAATACTTACCAATCTCTGCTATGACATAGGGCAGAACTGCCACCAGTAACATACACAGGTTCAAAGTCATGGCTTTATCTGCAGATTGTTGTGCCAACCATTGAAAAGATTTTGCTATTTCCCCTCATGGTGAAATTCTGCAAAATATTGAACAGATATTATAATGTTACTTTAAGTTCTTTGAACAGCATATTTTACACAATTGTCTGATGGTTGACTCAATTATGTAAATATGTACTAGTATGCATGTGAATAATACTGGAGGAATTAACAAGGGAATTAACTATTTCTACACTTGGACATACTCAGTACATGTTAAGGAGGATTTGTAGTAAAAGTACTATAAATAGCAGTACTCGTATTTCATGTTTTATTCTTTACTTTAATCAAAGTCAACTTAACAGACTGACAAACTACACTGTACCGGTACATGTACAGGTACTATAATTGCAAGAAGAAAAAAATTATAATGAAATGAAATAAGTCTAATGAGTATCTATCGTGTTCAATTAGCCATGATGCTAAAACTTATCGTGTTTTTGCAAAATGAGTCTAAAATAATTTCAATGCCATGTTAATGAGCCATGGCGACAATGTAAATGTTACAGTGTCAATTAGCAATGACATTGCCTCTGACACTAACAGACTTTGTCATTGTCCAGTCAGAGTGCACACAACATCTAAAATCTTTGATTCTTATTCACAAAAATATTAATCAAAAGATATCACAAAACGTACTGTGGCATCATTTATGATAGTACATTTACCACTGCAAAGAGCTCTTCTCTATCATGATGCTGCTGATTTCTGCAGTCAAATTATCCCTGTTCTCTTTTGTTTACATCGGAGGGAGGGACGCCATTGAAATCGATTGATGATTATTATAGAGGGCGCTCAAAAAAATAAAAAGCATTTCTGTCAACATGACAAATGTGGTCAGCAAACTCGATTGCATGGACAAATAAAACAAATTTAGTTGAATTTTCATAAGAATATTTTCAGATGCGAGCTCTGGACTGCAATTCAAACGATCAAAATGTTCATCTTCCTTACAGCGCCATCTAACGTTATCAATTATCAAGTACCTGTGTACCTGGAAGTCAGAAAAGTGTAGGAGCGAAGTCAACTTATTTCAACCAAGGAGTTATTGCAACTCCTTGCCTCAGCTATGGACCATGGCGCTAATTTTTGGGACGAAATCAGTGGGATGTTTGATGATTTAGAAGATATAAATGTTGAAGTGAGCGGTGACGAGTTGGATACTGTTGATGGGGTTGGGCTAGGCGTCAATTTACACACGGACTCGCCAAGTTGCTACACAAAACGTCAGTCCGGTGAGAGGGTTGAGTTGCATTGTACAAGACCGAGGAAGGTAAGATTAAAAAAAAAACTGGAAAATAACTGATGATATTAAAATTCCTTCCCTCTCTATTGTGTAACGTTTGGCAAGACATTACTAGTAATATATTTTTATCCAGGTCTGTCTGGCGCTACGAAAAATAAGATAATTGCACTTGAATTTCGCTTACATACTTGCCTTCATTTGAACACCCTACAGTCCGAGTGAAACACAAGTGCAATCATGGTGTTGTTTGAAGCGCCAGTTGTGGGATAACACTCATCTGGGTGTGACTGAATTGTGCAATACAGAAGAACACCACGCAATACACTTGAAAAAACAAGTCCAGTTGCAAGTAAACATGGAAAAGGGTAATTTCAAACAAAATAGGGTGATATGCAAGTGAAACATATTACACTTAATATTGTTGATAGAACTTAATGGTTGGTAATATTTCCAAGAAGAGCCACTCCCCAACATGGCTGCTGACCTGTTGATATCAAAGCCTCCTCGAATTGTTGAGCTATATCAACAATATTAATTTCCTAGTAAGTAGTTGCTTTTATATCACCCTACTTTGTTTGGAAAGACCGTTCCTTTTGTATAATTGCAACTGGACTTTTTTTTCCTGTGTATATTGCGCTGTATTACTGCTGTATAACCCGCACTCGGGTATCTTGTTTGTTGCATACTGTGGACGCTTTGCATTGTAACTAATACACATTAATATCACAATATGTTAAAGTGTTTGTTATGTTGCATATCTTGTTGGTAATTATATTATATATTTAGCAAATAAGTAATACTATATTTTTTTAGGTCAATAAAACATTTGGAGCAAGATTCTCCCCTATAATTGAAGCTGATGGGTTTTATGCACTGCTTACGTTATCTGGATCTGGTCTTCCTTTAATTGAGAAAACAGTCGAACTCGTGAAAAGTTGCCTTCAGAAGTTGAGCAAAAATTCCAAATGTGAAATCTTAAGGTAAGTTAGAATCTTTCAGTACATGAGTTTAAAGATTTTATGTAGTGTTTTACTAGTACTGATTCATTATTTATTAAGATATTTATATGTATCCAGATTAATTCAGAGCTCTACATGATTTATTGATTTATTTACAACATGGGTCTGAGGAAGTGGTGAGATGTACTCTTTACTGTAGATGTCATTACTGTATAGAGATAATCTTCATTATGATTTGTACCATCATATAACATAGATGACTTACATGTATGAATCAGTCAACAGACAGTACTATGTATATTTTTTCAGGGTGTTTATATATGTGCATATCAGATTCAACCAGTTTGTTGATATCTGTCATTTCCACTTTATTTGTATGTCAAATATTTTGTTCTCTTGTTATGCCTGTTGTAAAGGCTCATGATATTAATTTAGGTGGAATTCCCAGCGAGTACTCTTGTTGTTGCCCAGTGCTGCCAGCTATCATGCATTGGGGCAGGATTTCTTAGATGGAAAGTTAGAGAAGTGTGGAGGGCCAGAGGTAAATGCAGTCAAATTGGAAGGTAGGTGAATTCATGTGGGATCATCTTATAGTCTTTTTGAAAGTTTAAAGATGGAAAATGGTAGCCCATTGATATACTTCAGTGACTTGAGTCCTCTCCCTCTCCTTCAGAAAAAATGAGAGAGAGAATACCTAATTAGTAATTATCATCTTTTTTTTAAACATATTTTTATGAAAAAAAATTAGACAAAGTTCAACATTATTTTTAAGTACAACTGTTTTAAGTCACTGTAACAACATAACATTTTCAATGCAACAACATAACATTTACTACTCCTTTTTTCCAGTGGCTGTGTTAGTTGAGCCATCAAAGTGCTACGTGACAATCATCACAACTGCAGCATCCACCTTACATGTTGAACTACAGAGCATTATACAACCCTTCTCTGCTTGGTTCCCATATGCTTTAGTTATGGAGGCTGTGATGTCCAAGGGGGAATCACCACCATTCTCTGCCCAGGGACCTTTGCCCACTTTGGGCATCAGTTTGCTTTTCCATGGAAATGCCCAAGCCAAAGCAGAGCGGTCATTTCAGAGGTTATCACAGTTGCCATGGCAACAGGTTGCTGTACCAGCTTGTATGGAAGATATCACGAGTGAGGGCAAGTTCTATGTGAACTCGAGGCATGGGTCACTCCTGTGGGGGGTCATCACAGGGGCAAACCAACCTGGAGTACAGATCACTGTTTTTGTACAGGACCAAACCAGTTTTGATGACATGGTCAGTTTTTATCATAAGATTGTTAAATCAACACCTTTGTCTAAGCAAGGAAGTGATGGTGTTTCAAAGTATGCCGTTTTTGCGCTGGAACCAAAACTGGAGCTGGTCGTAGCCTATTTTCATGGACTGAAGGTGGCAGCACCAGCAGCTGCCACTGTTCTTTGCTTGCAGACACTACAGTTGCCCCCTAGTGATTTGAATAAACTGCAGCAGATTTCTTCAGATCTGTGGGAAGCACAAGACCCTGAGGGCAATGTGGTGCAATTATTTACTGTCTTAGAATGATGAAAAATGTTTTCTCTAACTTTATAATCAAATCTTCTTTAAATGCCTGAATTATTTAGTAATTTTTAATAATTCACCCACATAATGTATTCACCCCTGTTTGTTTGTTTGTTTGTTTGTCATCAACATAACTCAAAAAGTTATGGATGAATTTCGATGGAATTTTCAGGGTAGGTCAGAAATGGGTTAAGTTGGAAGTGATTAGTTTTTGGTGGTGATCTGGATCAATAATCAATCAATAATCAGTAATCAAAAATCAGAAAACTAAGTTATGGACCGACTTGATGAAATTTTCAGGAGCAGTCAGAAGAGGTCCAAAGAACAGATTATGAGTTTTTGGTGGTGATCCGGCTCAATAATCAATCAATAATCAAAAATAAAAAAAATGAATCATTATAATAAGAAAATTTAGGGGTGAAATGGCATTGGATGGAGACTGCTGCCTTGGCGGAGGTCTGCGCCCTCTGAGTGCTTTTCTAGTTTTCTTTTTTAATACTGTAATTTTGCTCATTAAGAAAAACGATACATTATTGTACAGTGCTTTGTAACAGAGCTGTTATTTATTTTAAATAAGACAGACCATTCTTTCAACAACTCAAATGACAAAAAAATGAATTTTTTTTATAGATATTTCATGTTCAAGCAGCAAGATGAAATTATGATATATTCCATTTTTAAACAATAACATAATTTTTCAGTTAAGAACTTAAGATATTTAAAATATCTATGATTACATAGATCATTTAATCCAAAAAGTATGCCTTTTACTTTTATTTCATACACTTCCTTTTTTCCCCCACATAATTTCTGCTCCCCAGAAGAACATATAAACAACAAGAATTTATTTTTCTGTATAATTTTGTAAAATGTCTGTGTTGTCCAGAATGGCATATGATAACATGAGTCTCAGACTTACTGAATTTATATTAAACTAATATTTGTAACTTTTAAATGTATTTTGTTGTTTTTCATCTATTTTATATACAAACAAAAAGTCCAGAGTATAAAATGACCACCTAGGTGGACTTGTGTATTAGCTGTCACAGTGGCTGTTCAGCATCGTTGCTCGCCCTTTGACTCTAAATTGCTGTGCATGGTTGATAACTGTAATTTAAAGACATTTAAAATCAAATTTATGCCACAAAACTCGACTGTGCTGTAGTTATCCCTCAGCAGTTTCCTTTGAATAAGTAAGCAATTTACGACCCGTAATTTGAAGGTGTAATTTTAAAATGTTGGGGGGGGGGGGGTTTTGATGGTAGTGGTGATGGGTGCTGAAGGAGAGGTTAATTTGGCATGTTCACTTTGTTTAAGTAGTATTAGAAGCCAGTAGAAGTGGTTTAAATGCGCAACTTGAAATCCACGCCCGCTTTATACGTATCTTGCCCAAAATTTGCAACACACGTTGTTACACATTGGTGCCAGGTCGGCAAACCCATGAGTATGTATTCCAACTGTCTAGCTAATAAAATGCAACTGTGTTCAAAATTTCTTCAAAAGGGGCATAAAAACAATTATTTGAAGACGAGCATAACATTTAAAAACTTCCTGATGCCACCCCTCCTTTTTCCTTCCCTGTGATGGTTACTTCTATACCCATTCATTTAATTCAAAATTTACTTCAAAAAAGTTTTAGTATTTTGAAATGAAAAATTTATATGCTGAACAAACTCCGAATTTGTTGCTTTGCATCTTTGTTAATACCAGAAATGTCTTATTTAACAGGGGCCTAGGTCTATTTTGGCATGACGTGTACATGTACGTAATAGGTAAACAAGTGTGCAACCATAACTTGAAAAATTAAGGTGACAGCTTCCACCACAATGCTGTCAATATATAACTGTCGTCATTCTGGGATGTTGACCTATTAATAATTGATTGTACCATCCGAAAAGCGTGTCTTTGGGCACTGTCCACAATCCGAACACAAAAAACACTGCCCAAGGCACACCCATATATATCATCCATACACAAAGAATGGTCATCATGCACTTGACACGTCTCCACAGATGACAGTTATATTTATTGTTAAAAGTAAAACTTTCAGCATCTTTGACCATGTAAGCAGTATTTATCTTATTGATTTGAGCCGACACTGACAGCAGGGATGACATTAACTGAACCCTTGATCACCGGGTGTCATACCAAACCAGGAGAAATTGGGCCAGTCCTTCAAAAATCGTGTATTCATTTGTAAAAAAATTGAAAATGGTTATCCGAATACTGTGTTACTGGTGCGCGCACGTCGGTTTATCTATTCATATTTTATTTTATATTACTTCCTTCCATTTGATGTCGGGGGTAACGTGCGTGTTTCTACTGGCTGCTTGTCTAGTACAACTAGGAGAGAAACAGATTTCAATATAAACAGAATACGAATTACCTGCTTAATAAACTTCCAGCACTTGCAGATATTATAGACAGGATAAAGATGGCAAATTGTTAAACAATCACAATAATAAAACTAGAAAAGCACTCAGGGAGCTCAACCCCCGCCAAGATAAATAATTACGTAATAACTAACCAATACATATTAGATAATTAAGTACTAATCAGAAAAATCTTATCATTTATTCCTTGGTCCATTTGCGACATAAGAAGAAAATTTTAAAAAAATTAATGGCGCACTACCAAAATTTGATCTTTTCCTTCTTGAGCCATGATTTGTGGCTTATGACAGTATTATAATTTCTGCCGTAAATCCAATAAAATAATCAAATAACTGTACGTCTCTTTATATATAGAGGTGAAAATGATCCCCTTAAAAATTTTAGTGCACATATTACAGACAATGATTGATTATTTATAAATATTGAAAGTGAATTTAAATATTTATAAAAACATCCTTGCGTCTTATATAATTTACCATAACTGAATCGCTACAAAATATATTAGAACGCTTTATAATAATTGAAATTATATGGCCAGGAACATACGTTACCGGAACATACACACACTGGACAAAAGAAGTGTCACCCCCTAACTCAGAGTAATAAAAGTAGGCAGATCTTGGGTACTTATAATGCCTGGTTTACTTATAATGTGACTAATGAGTATAAAACCGCTATACCATGGAATTCTATTGTTGGTCTTGTACATGTACAGCAAATGTTATTCCTGTCTTCCTCCAATATGGCAAGATACAGGCAATTATCTAACGGTTATAGGTGCAAGTTATTAACCTGAAGAGGCGGAATATTAGCAATGTCAGAATATCGATACAATTGAATTGTTCAGTCAGAACCGTGCAGAGGGTCTGATCTCGGTATAGAAACACTGGATCAAGAGACAAATTGCCTCTGATGGGTCATCCAAGAAAAAATACTGGCCGTGAAGACCGACGACTGATTTTGATGTCCAGGTTGTCAAAGTTCGACACTGCTTGTCAGTTGACAACACAGTGGAACAATTTCACACATAAGAATGTGTCTGTGAAAATTGCTAGGCGTCGGTTACATGCTCAGAGAGTGTACAGCAGGGTAGCAAGACTGAAACCTCTTATATCGTTACAAAACAGGCAACGTAGAGTAAACTAGGGTCAACAGGATCTGGAACTGGACAGTTCATGACAATTGGTCCTATATATTTTTTTCTGATGAGTGTCGCTTTGGTCTGACCTCTGATGACAGACGGGTACTATGCTGGCAAACTGCTGGTAAAGTATTTGAACCACATGCACTTAATTTTCGAACCCGGAGCAGCATATTCATCATGGTGTGTGGCTGCATCAGCATCCATGGCTCGGGCGAATTGATAGTGGTTGATGGAAACATGAATCACTAGAAATCTATCGATGTTTTGGAGTCAGGCTTGCTACCATCTATTACTAACATGTTTGGTGACAGGAATTATCCATTTGTTCACCAGGATGACAATGCTCCTTGTCACAGGCCCAGAGCAGTTGATGATTGGTTTGACCAACAGGACATTCGCAGGGTGATGTGGCCTGCCCAGAGTCCGGATGCAAACATAATAGAAAATGTGTGGAATGATATGTCAAAACTTTTTACAAATGCCCGTCTAACCAGCAGATAAACTCTGTTATATTCAGTGTTTCATGCTTCGGCCAGCGTTAGCTCTGAACGCATCAGACAATTATATGAAACATTGCTTCGTAGACTGGCACCTATTATTAGGTCACGTGGCTATGCCACTAAGTACTAATTTTGGACTTGAAACTGCATATTTTGGTAGAATGTATATTTTGTTCTCATTTTGTGATTTTTTATGAAATTTGATGTTAATAAAATGATACCAGGAGCATATCATTCCGCAGTCATTTATCTCCCCCATAGTATTGGCTCAGTAGGGGTGACACTTCTTTTAACCAGTGTGTGTAGGTTACCATTTAGTCTTTTTACATAATGTATAGACATGGTAAAAATTAAATATGGATTTAAAATTTAGACAGCCGTGGATTTTTGTTCTATACACATATATGTTTTAAAAAAATGATACAGTATTGAATTCATTTAATTTTATTTCTTTTGATACTTCAGCATGAGAATGGACCTCTATAATGGGTTTGGGTGTTTACTAGCACATGATATTCTGCAAATTAACGTATCTTTCCCTTCTGAGATATTTTAAATAACAATAAAACTCCTCAATATATGTACCCGTTTCGATATTTCCCTCTGAAATGTACAGGAAAATATGATGGTCTGAACGGCACGAGAAACATTAATAACCTAATTGTTACAATAAAATGGTATAAAACGCCGAATCCCAGTGCATGGAAGGACTGAGCAGTGATTCGTGAGTAAGAGAAAAAAAATTTCAAGAAAACCCGATCAGGCGCGAATCTGCGGGATAAGATACCTTGAATTCGACGACACACAGACCTGCTTAGGAAAAAAAGTCCAAGCCGAAGCTTTGGGAACGAACCGCCATCTGGAAAAAGAATATAGTTAAATTGATTTATTTCCGTGACAATGCCGAATATATACAAATATAATACAATAATGTGAATATATAAGGAACGGCCCAGCCCTATGGGCTTACATAGTCACCGGTTACCAAACACTAGTTATATAGAAGCTTCTTTCTGACCTGAAAGCAGTTAAAGAGAAACCTCGCTGTGCTTCTATGAAAATCTGTAAAAAGCACTTGAGGTCTCTCTTTAACC